AAAATGAGATAAACTATGTTTAATACAAAAACATGTGGTGCAGTTCACTCAAATCTACAATTAGGAGATTGTAGATTTAGAATCAGATTCCAGTATCTATTTAAATTATATTGCTTGCATCAATCAGGGTAGAAGTGCAAAATATATCACAATCCTTCACATTAACAGTTAAATTCAAGCACAGAAGACCAAAAAGCTCAAAGAAACCAGTGGTGATCCTGATGATTTAACAGCATAGATTAAAATTAGTATAATAATATTAAACATTTTTAATTACATTCAGTTTTTTTTCAGCCCTAAACCAGAAATATGTTTCATAAGACTTTAATGGAGAGCACTGTATAGTACAGCGTGTCAACATGATGCTGCTGCAGGAACTGACTGCAACACAGGGGAAGACGAGGCAGCTGACATAAGTCTGGTTAAACCGAAACATCAGAACGGTTGCTTTACACAGACATTGTGCTGGAAAATCCATACTGTATGGGAAAGACTGCACAGGTGGATTATTGCTGCAAACAAGACAAAACGCAGACCACCCAAAATCTCAAAGAACTCCAAAGTGAGGTACAGGGGCCTTCTTCAGATCTGTGAAGAGTTTGCTCAGAAACTGCAGCGGTAGGTTCGAGGGTTTCTGGACTTCGTGAGGCCAGGACTTCTGGACATGTGCATAGGGTCAAGAAGGGCAGCAATATGGCTGCAGGTTATTTTCTCACTCCACGCTCACTGCAGGCTGCTTAGGACAGCTGGAAAGAGCAGCTTTTCATGAGTTGGGTTGAGTTCAGGGGAGTGGGATCACTTACAATGTATCCACTATTAATATAAACCGAGCTCAAAAGTAATCAAAGAGCAGAGATCCAAAAGCACCATCATAATAAACAGTTTTATTAAGAAAGGCGGTAGTCTCTCTGGGATCAGTCACAAAACTCCCCCGATTGTAATCCTGAAAGCAGTTTGTTAGAGCTTGATCTAGTTCTTAGAAGGTTTCAAAGTTTTTGAAGTGCCAAATGTCAGCATACCACCAAAACACCCAACGAAAAAAAAGAAAAAAGAAAATCAAAAGCAGTAAAGTTAGAAATGTCTTTGTGAAATAGATGCAATACAAGATCTAGTGGCTTATTAGGTTTAGATTGTGCAACTTTACTGGGACAAAGTTGAGACGAAAACCAAAACACATGTTCATATTATAAAATTATGAATATGCCACTAATTCATGGTGTTTTATTCCAGCTTCAACCCAAGATACTGAATATGACTATTTATTGCTTATGTCTCACACCAGCTCAATTTACAAAGTAAAAAATAAAACACAAGCGGTCACTCAGAAATTCACGTCACCAACGAAGTAGTTTGGCGCCATCAAGTGGTCATTTCTGATACATTATGCCCATAAAAAGCCTTTCCTTTCCTTATATGAACTACTAAAAAGAATTTTGAAATTGAACAGAATGAGTAATATTTATGCATTTTAAGTTGCTTACGTATTAAACTAATATTATTTTTACTATCCGTCATCAGAGCGATTTCGCAAAATGCAACCAGAAAACTAAACGATAAAAAATAGGATGGGTAAAAACACTGAACAGCAATACACGTTCCATATAATACCGAAACTATATTTGTGTGTAACAAAAAGAAGATGGCTTTGTATGTTATAAAATGTCATCAAGGAAAAAAGCATCAAGACAGCTGAGGAAAAACAAATGATAGCATCATCATCATCTTCATCATCGTTGAGAGTAGCAGCTGTAGCCACACAAATTCTATTAGAAATATAAAACTTACCTTAAATCCATCACATCCTTCGGTTTTAGTGAATTAAAATTCATCCAAGCCACAGAGCCTCGGCGAAGCGAACAAAGATTCAGGCCGTTGAAGAAAACCAGTCGGTTTCACTTTTACTTTGGCCCCAATTTAATCTGCAGTTGCTTTAAATTTCCAGCAGCTGTGTCGTGTCCATCAGCCCAGCAGATCTAAGCCAATTATAATCCAACACGACGAAATGCCAACATCTACAGCTTAGTAGAGATGATTTTAAAAAGAAAAAGAAAATCCAAGAAGAGAGTATTTAAAAGGTCTTTCCACAGCCGATGCTGTGCATCGTGTTGGAGCTGAAGTGAAAGTGAAATGACGGCGGTCTTTCCACGGTAACAGGTGACGCCTTCCACTGAAATACCCTGATAAATGTCACACAAAGAAAATGTCTGCAAGGTTCTCCACAGCTGAACAAAGTCCAGTTTTTATAGAAAAACAAACAAACAAACAACAACAACAAAAAAAAAACCCCACCTAAAATGGGGGATATTTATCATCTAAAGGGGAAATGTATATATTTTTAATCTGTGGGGCAAAGGACAAAATATACTAGCTTATTATAAGAATAAATGTTATTTATCCATACTAAATGTACCTTTTCATTAAATGGATAGGTAACACAATAAAAAATCTTTATTAAAACCCAGTCACTTTTACATCAAATCTTTATACAAAATTGATTCTGCCTGGAGTTTGTGATAAACCAACCCATATGTGTTAAATTAAGGTCTATAGTACCTAGAATTGAGCATGTTTTAAAAGATAATCAACTGGAAGTGTGGTGTTAATTTATTTTCTGTCACTTAAAAACATCTCCATTTTCTTTTGCTAAATAGATCAAGTTTGGTCATTTAAATGTGAACATCAGTTTTCAAGTTTTGGACGATTTGAACGTATACATATGCTTTTGTCTAATCTGTTTTAGTGTAGTTCTGATTATCAACACTAATATTCTGCTTTAAGGTTAACCTTCACTCCACTTTAAAGTCATTTGCAGCTCCTAACACATTTTCTCCATCAATCTTCCATCAACTCAAATTCACTTCTGGTGAGGAAAATCATCAGGATGCTGCGGCTGCTGACTGTGTGCCAACGGTGGAAACGGTGTGTTCACAGGGATGTGCAGTATTCATTTTACAGCTCCTGCATTTGGATTAAGGTCCAAAAGTTCAGTTAAGTCCAAATTTGTCCAAAAGATTTTCTCCATCTTCTCCGTGTTCTTTATTTATTCAAAAAATGAGAATAATTGTCCCAATGAGTCCTGTTTTCTGTTAAGCCCACATTTCGTTGGTCTGATGTAATATTCAAATTTTGAATGTTGTGTTTTAGCTGTCAGCAGAAATAAAAATATAAAATATAATGTGTTTCACTTGGTTACTGAAATAAATGGACTTTTCAGTAACACTCTAAGATTATTGAATTGGTCTGAACGTGGCTTGTTTCAAACTTTAAACTGGACTTCTTAAAGTTTCTGTTTTTCATTCTTTCATAAAGGCCAAATGTGGAAAATGAACAACTAATTATTGTTGCTGTCATGGATTCTCTCAGCTCAGCTGCTGATCTTAGAGAAAACAAACCTTGCTTTAAACTTATATTTCATTTACTAATTAGGTGACTGCTGAGGGCAATTGGTTGCACTGGATTTCATTTAGGGGCATCAAAGTAAAGACGGTGAATGCAATGCATGACTAGTTGTCAGATTTTTATTTCTTATACAATTTGAAGACAATTTGTATCATTTTACTGCTTATTAAGTGTTAGTCTGTTCATAAAATCATAAGAAAGTAATGACATAAAAAATAATAAAATACCTTCTGAAAATTTCAATCAGTTCTTTTCAGTCAGTCTTTAAAATAAGCCCAACAAATAAATGAACTCTTTGGCAGATGCAGCAGATTTGTAATAACATCTACCCACTACATCTATGTGTTCTCTTCATGTTCTGCTTCCTTTTTCTTATTCACACAGTTCCTGTTTGAACAAAGGAACAAAAATATCAGGAAAAACAATTCTGCACAAATGCTCATTGATAAAATTAACTTTCATCCTAAATACACAGAATCAGAACAAGCCAATCAAAGATGACTAAGCAAAATGAAGATGACCTTTTACCAAAAATAAGTGTAACTTTTTAGATAATTGCAAACAACTCACCCACGTAGCTGTTGCATGTCTGACAGTGCCTCTGGTAAGGCTTTTCCATGAGTTTCTGGCAGCATGAAGCAGAAACCAGAACCACAGACGGCCATGACACCCATCACTATGTATGGAAGGGCCCTGAAGTAAAACCCTGTGACAAAAGGGTTTTAATTTAACCGAGCCAGCGCTGATTTAATATCTACTGAGAGAAACATCACATACTTTCTAAAACAAACAAAATGCTTGTTTGTTTAGTGAATAATAAGAAAAAACATGAGACATTACAGTATCAAAGAAAAAAAGAATGAAAGTATTTGTATCTTAAAAAGTTGTGACAGATTTCACAAATCCGTTCTACACTTACCCAGATAAATGATGAATGGGGAGATGATGGTTCCGATCCGTGCGGCTGTGGAGCAACATCCCATGGCTGTATTCCTGATTACGGTCGGGAAGAGCTCCGCTGTGAAGGCGTACAAAACACAGAAGGCCGACGTGATGCCGAATTTTCCCACCATCTCCAGCAGCACAGACACAGCGGGTAAATCTGAGGCCACCAAACCGGACAAAAGAATCAGATCAACTGATCCAATTTAAAAATAGACTCTCCTGCAAACTGAAACCACCTTTAATGTGCTCTTTGACAAAAATAAGTTATTTTAATCAATTTACATGAAAAACCTGTACATAGATTGTCATGTAATGTAAAATAATTTAATTACAGATTAAAATAATGATTATGATAAGCTTCAAGTTTAGACACACATTTAAATACAACTTCTGTTGCTCCAATCTTACAAAAACACCCAAAATGCAAAATTAACCAGTTTTATTCAAGTATGCCATAAGATTCTGATTTAAAGCAAAGTAAGATGTAAGATGTGTCACTGCAAGAGTTTGCTTATTTAATGCATATTTACAAAACTCATTGTTTAATTTCATGCAACGTCTAGACGATGCTGCAGTTTTACTGCAGGGCTCAATAATCCCACTGAAGTTATTCCCTAGATGGATGGATGGATCTTATCCAGACACTCAGTTTAAAACTTCTTGAATAAGTGAACATCTTTTAAATCAGTTGTTTAAATTCTCACCCAATTCTTTGCAGGAATAAACATGTTCAGATAATGGATGGATGAATATCTTTAATATTCTTTGTTCTGATTTGTGTATTTCTGAACTTGGGTCTTGACTTGAGCTTTGAGACTTTTCAATTCCTCAGACAGGTGAATAAATGAACACAGATTGTCCACATTTTATTTATAATCAGCAGCTTTTCTCATCTTTGTTCTTTGCTTTGCAAAATACTTTTTCTTTACAAGGAAAAAAGAAAATAGTCTTAGAAGAAATCTACTCATAAAACAAAAGACAATCTTCAAAAATTCACATTTATGGAAGCATAATTTAAAACATTGAATAATTTCCACTGCTTATTTTTGCATCACATTTCATACAAACTGTAACTACAAATAAATGTCAAATATTTTACTGTTTCTTATGGTTGCTTGTAAGTATAGTAAATTAAATTTGGTTCCTACCATCCAACACATGCGTACACCCGAGTCTGGTTTTTAAAAGTTTTATAATTAGGAACTATAAAACATGATGTACATGTTGTACATGATGTACAGCGGCTCTATTCCGCTGCGGCCGGAATAGAGCCGACTGTGTGGATCTTACCTATCGGAATGAGGTTAACACAAATGATCATAATGCCTCCAAGTAAGAGTGAGGCAGACTGACAGAGGCGCCTGGAGGAGAAACGCAGCAGCAACAGGACAATGATGTACGCTGGAACCTCTGTAGCAGCAGACAGGAAGCAGTTCAGGTACGGGTTGCCGTGCAGGTTGGAAGTGTTGAGGATTAAAGCAAAGTAGTTCATGGCGACGATCATCCTGCCAAACAATTCAGGACAAATCTTCAGTACAAGTGATACTAATAATATAATTATACTGCACACATACCACAAGCTTGAAGAAAGCAACGCTGTGGTGAAAATGTTGCAGCTTTTCAGAAGGACCAAAATGTTGAATTTCTTGTCTCGCATCACCAAAATTTTTTCAATCTGTGACAAAAGAAATACCAAAACAAAGGCAGGTCAGACATAGCAAGAAAAAACAGGCTCCCATAAAAAATATGTTGTGGGAACTTTTGCAACTACACAAAATGAGATGATATTATACAATATTAAAGTACAGACTTTCAAACATACCTCTGGTTGTGTAAAAATGGCGTCTGGAGCCTCGACTTTATTCAGCTTCGCTGCATCTTTAAGAATGGCTTCAGCTTCGGCTGCTCTCCCCTGAGACTGCAGCCAGCGAGGAGACTCTGGGATAAACCTGCTCATAGAAAAACATTTCAACTGCATGGAGTTTAAACTACTTTAAAGATTAACAAACTCGGCTATAACCTCATTTATGTATTCCAAACAAACGCATGAACATCTTTAAACAGAAACAAGCAGGTTCTAAACTTGAAGATATTTTGATTTTTTTATTAAACTAATCTTGTGGGACGTCATGCTGACGTATGTCTGTTACCTTTGGGATGTTGGGCAGTATTCTGTTTAATTAGAATCAGGTACATTAATTTTAATTTTTTTTTGCCATATTTTAGAACTGAGTGAGGATGAAGGTTAGCGTTTTATACAAAGTGCCCCCAAGTCATCAAATAATTATTTCTCCAGGTATTAAAGCTCCTGTCCATAGCAGATAAATGCCAACTTAAAATTTAACATAATTAAGTTTCTAAAATTCTGCTGCTCTAACATTTGGAGTACAGCAGGTCCCAGAAGTCACAATCCAGTTAATTAATTTGCAATTTCTCTTTTAAACTTGGCTAATTAGTTACCTTTTAGTAGAGACAAAGAAAAAACTGTTATAATGACAACCTTCTGCACAAAGATGGCCTGATTTAAGTATGAAAAAGTATTTTAAATCAACATTAAAAAAACATTGCAAACTAAAGGCTAGCATGTATATATTTTCTTACCACCACAGAGGGACGTAGATGAGGCCAGAGGCAGCCATGGCGATCAGCAGCAGCCGCCATTCACGGAGAAAGAAGGCCACTACAGGCATCGCCATGTAGCCCAACGCTGAGCTCATGAATACTCCGAGTGAGCAGAAAACCACTCTGGTTTTGGGGCTCAGAACTTCAGCTCCTGTTGGTGAATGCCATATTTTTATATGTGTTTATGGAGAACTGTTGAATAGTGTCATATTCTGAGAAACGTGGGAACTTTTGTTGTACCCAATAAGGCCTGGGAGGTCAGATAGGATAAAAAAAACAAACAAACATAAT